GCCACCACGGGGGGGTGGGGGGCAGGGGGCCCCGGGAGCTGCCCTCCAGCACAGCAGACCGCGAGGGTCAGGAGCAGCCCTCCCCCGTGCTGCAGTTACCGGAGGGGGCGGGGGCCATCCCCCACACCCGCCCAGCCTCCGTGAGGGGCCTGCCCGTTTTACTGGAGAAACGCGGCTGGGGGGTTAAACGCTGGGCTCAGGCAGTGGTGAGCAGCCCTCCCTCGGTCCCCTTCTCCACGACTCGGGCCTGCTGGCTGGGCCCCGTCAGCGCCAAGAGCCCCTGGGGATGGGACCCTGAGGCCGGGGCCGGGAGCCTGCCCGCGCCCATCCGCAGGTACCTTGAGGGCCTTGGCTCGCTCGGCGCTGTCCTGTACTGCCCGCCCCTGCTCCAGCGGGGGCCGCAGGACACCTGTGATGGCCTTCTCCTGCCGGTCCAGGTCACTGGCCACCTTGTCCAGGCTGGCCAGCAGCTGTCGCCCCTGAAGGTCAGAGGCATCTGCCAGAGGGGAAACAGAGTTGCAGGCAGTGGGGCCAGAGGCCTGGGAAGGGCCCCCGGAGCCCGGCTGGCTCCCCCAGCCCCACCCCCGCCGTCCCATCGCAGCAGAGACCCCGCGGCAGGGCCGGCACCCACCTCCAGGGTTCTCGGTCCTCAGCACCTCGTGTCGCTGCTGGAGAACAGTCCTGCTCCCGGCCGCCTTCTGCCGCACGCTCCGGAACTGGCTGCCCAGGCTGAGAGAGAGAGCCCAGCTGACCCCCAGGGCCGCTGGCCGGGCAGAGGGCGGGCCAGTCTGGCCCGACGCGAGGGTGGGCCGGAGCACTCGTCTCCCTGTGGGGAGGCCCCTTCCTCCCTCCAGAGAGCTTTCTCCCTAAAGTTGTCATTTATCTTCTCCACCAGGGAGGGAGCAGTACACAGTAGGTGCTCAGTAAATGTTTGCTGAATAAACCCATGCAGGTGTGCCCTGAGCCTGTCTTGCCTTGGACCAGGGACTGACACACCAGCCCACCCGCGCCGCCGCACCCACTGACGCCCCAAGGGCGGCAGGTGCAGGGGTGTTGGCAGCCCAGGGCTGTCGGGATGCCCGGGCTGTGGCCTGAGCCCGAGGAGCCCACGCACCCCCCTTGCACCTGTCGGCCAGAGCCAGGGCCTCTGGGTCGGTGGGGGGGATCATGAAGCAGACGGCTGGGGCGGTCAGCTTGTTCCCGGCACTGTCCGTGAGGTCCCAGCTCTCCCCGTTGTTCTTCTGCAAGGTGTAGCTGTAGCCCCTCAAGATGGGGCCCTGACGGGAGAGGGCCGGTCAGAGCTGTGCAGGCCTGCCTGCCCTCCGGGCCTCCTGACGCCTGGCCCGACACAGCAGGGAGGTGTTGGGTGTGCAGGCCCAGTACCCACCTGGACTGCACTTTGGGGGAACGGCCCGCCCCGCGCGGGAGGGCTTCACGGGGCCTGTGCGTTGGCCTCCTGACCATTGTGCGCCTTGAGCCAGGCCAGCAAGAGCCCCCAGGACTGCTGGAATGTCCGGGCCTCTAGGCTGGCCGGTCAGGAGGCCAGAGCAGCGGGAGGTGGGCCAGAGCCGCCCCCGTGTCAGAGAGGCACAATCCTGAAATTCCGAGGCCTTGCGCCCGGCCTGTCTCCTCTCAGTCTTCTCACTGCCTGGAGCCTGGGCAGCTGGGGGGCGGCTCACCTGGTCCCCCTCGAAGTCACAGAGGGCCTCCACGGGGATGGGCTTGAGCGGCGTCTCCCGGCGGTACTTGAGGGGCACGACCTGCTGCCCCCGCTTCTGCAGGCCCTGCACCACCTGCTCGTACTTG